ATTAATACTACACGGCTGTGCAAACAGCAGGGAAAAATTGGTTACCACATTTTCCTCAACAAGCAAGGTAAAATCCTTCCAATTAACATTTTAGTTAAGAAATTCACTCACCATGCCTTTTCTTAAAGGTTGTAGCTCAGTCTTTTAATTTTTTTCACAGCATTTTTCACCGTGGCTCTATTGGAGATTAGATACCCAGCAGCAAGAAGGGAGACAAGTGAATTATACTTTTAGCTCATACTTTATTCTCTTTACTTTAAAACTTCAGGAACTCAGGCATCTATTTCACCCATCATTTATCCTTGGAGACTAAGGCAGCTTCGGGGAAAAAAGCAATTACCTGCTATGGAAAGTCTAGGAGTTACAATTATGAAATAATAAAATGTCAAAGACACGTCTAATTTAGATATAGGGCTTTATACTCAGCTTAGTGAAACAGTACAAAATATTCTCTGAAATTTCTCTATCCATCAGGTGGAATCACTCCTTTGACTGTGATACCAAATGCAAATTCACAAGTGTTTATACAGCAGATCTGAGCGTGCATTAGAAATCAGCAATTGAAAATCTATTTTGCTTACCTTGTCACCAATAATGGGATTACAGCACTAAAAAACACTTTTCCTTCTTGGATACACTAAGTAGAACAGTTCTGTCTCCAGAGAGAGTAGGACTCAATTTCCCTTCCTCTTGGTTCTTGCAGGAATTTGATGTCTCTTCCTCTCAGTGCTTGAAGTGTCAATGACAGTCCCCCAAAAACAACTCCACCTCCCCCCATGGCCATCTCTGGTTACTGCTCAGCAAAGGAATCCTCATGATTTATAAATCCTCATGATTTATAAACCTTTAACAGCAAGAAACAAATTCCAAAAGAACAGCAATAGCAGAGTGTAACCAGACTTTCCACAGTGATCTTTGCCCAACACCACAAGGTTCTCTGCGATGCTCAACTCCTGAACTGCAAATTGTGGCTCTGTGCTGCCAGGGAAAGCCTTTGTGATCTTCACCTGGTGATAAGCAGCACTGCAAGGTGGGGCAGAGAGAGGGAAGAGATAAAATCCTTTATCATATAATCACAGGCTCAGATAGTGCCCAGTGTGGCAGTGCAGCCCAAATTCACAGCCTTGCACCTCGAGTGCTGCTGAGCCCCACTCCTCGCCCTTAAATGAACATTAAAGCCATGAACTTGCCCAAACCTGGCAAAAATAATTGTGAGGATGCCAAGGTGGACTGGGGAAGATGCCAGATGACCAGCAAGGAGTCAGTGCTGGTGCTGTCCCCTGCTCTGCAGGAGCCCTTGGTGTGACAATGTGCTGCCCCAGCCCCTGCTGCTCCCCGAGCTGTCACAGCAGCCAGGCCTGGATGGGGCAAGGGACACAAGGTGCAAAATCAGAAGTCAGGGAGAAAATGCTCAGGAAATCCAGCAAGCAAACCTAGGGGGAAGCATCCTGCATTGTCTCAGACATCAAGGTCTGTGTTACAGCCAGGCTGAGGCACAGAGAAGCCAAGGGACATCCCCTGCACAGACATCTACCACCAGGTGAGCCAAACCCTCCTCCCCTGCCTTGGAGACAACAGCACCGAGGAGTTTTGTAGCAAAATTCAAGCTTGTGTTACAGCATGAGGAAAAAATTGTTTTGTCTCAGCCCCAAAGGAGCAAATTTAGCATTGCCCAACACCTTGTTCTGTTCAGAGGTCCAAACCCTTGGGATTGTGCATTTGTAAGAAGTGAAGCCTGTGGTGGTACAAAATTCATCCCAGGACTAAGTGAAGAAGAGGGAAAAAGAACAGTTGGTTGTGGCTAAGGTTAGTGAATTCTTCATCATAAATTAAATTTATGCAGCATATTAAACTTCAATCTTTGAAAGGTTGTTTTTTTTTAATCCTTTCAGACTGTTATAAAATGACATTTAACAAAAGGAATGAGGACAAAGAAGCTGGCTTTAAAACAGAGCTGGGCAGATTTAGGACCAACATTCTCCAGTACCTTTTAACTTCTGTAAGAGAAGCCAAATGACCCAGGAGCATCTTTTCAGTCCTGTTTTTTAGCACCAAGGATGCTGCTAGGGAACCACGTTCCCTACTGTTCTCTTTCAAAAGCAACATGAGCCCAGATGTGTCTGAGGAAAAGCAGAAGAGCGAACAGTGCCAACGCCCAGGATGATCAGGCACAGCCCAGGGAGCTCCCACAGCTCCCAGCACACCCTGCCTGCAATGCTTCCCCAGGAGGGCAGTCCTGGGGGGAGATGAGCCAGGCTGAGCAGGGCAAAGCAAGATTCTCAGGCAGAACTGCCAGGGCCTCCTCCAAGGGCAAGGGATAATCACTGCTGTGCCCAATCCAGTTATTAGCATTGCACGCATTACTCCAGTCTGAAGGGGAAATCAGATAAATGTAGCAATCTAAAGTTTAGACTTGTGGCAAGTTTGTCTCAACAACCTTCCTTTCCTTCCCCACCCAAGTGAGAGAGGCAGAGCCTCTGTACAAGGAGGAGGTGACACCTGCAGAACAAACAAGGCTGCCCTGGACAGGCAGTGTGAGACCTGAACTTTAAAAGGAGCACTTTGGTGGTGATCCAGATAAGATCATATGAAAAGATAATGTTTAATCCACACTGACACAATCTGCTCGTGCTGGCTGGAGCAAAGGAAGGTCTGACACCAGGACACTGTGGGATTTCATACTCACCACTTCCCCTCAGCTCAACATAAACCTTGCTCTGAGCTGGGCACCTGGCACATCTCACAGACTTGGACACAAATCTGGGGATCAGGATTAAAGCTTCCAGCCAAAAACAAGCCAGCCTAAGATTTTCTTCACTTCTTTATAGGCTGAGGAAAATCAAAACAAGTGATTAAGACGGTTCTTTGCTTCATTAACAAATATACAAAGTTTTATTTTGTTTATTAGATTGGTTTTCTGTATGTTAACATTATCATAGCAGTTATAACCCACATTCACAGCAGAAATTTTCTAAGAGCATTTTGCAACACTAACTGCTGTATCAGAAATCCTTAAGAGAAACTTATCTTTTAGCTACTCAGGTAACTTGAATAATAAAGTGCAAAACCACAATAAAATTTGACAGACATATGTCCCAGCTCATATTCAGTGGAAAAGAAAGGTTTATAAGACCACTAGATATGGATTCACTGCACACAACAGAAGAGTGTGACCTGAAGACACCAGTTTTCAAGTTTTCCCATTACCAGACATTGATTACAATGAATAATTTTCCATTACTTTTAAGGGTAACATATAGAAATCACAATGAGGTTATAAATAAAACAGAACACATTGGCCAGACAACCTGAAGCTTAGCCCTGTATTTGGTACCTTTTACCCAATAAAGGTTTTGGGAAGAACTGATGAACAGGAACAGTTCATTTCTTGATGAAATAGCCTCTGATTTGACAAGGAACCAACTGGCAGGACATAACACAGCAGCTTGTGTGGGACACAAGTCATAAGTGGATTTTTTAGATGTATTTTCTACCACCCATGGACATAGACATGGCCTCATTCAACTTTTGATTGCCAGCACTAATTACTGTCCTGCTCAATCCAAGAAAATGGAGAAATCTCATCAGAATATTATGGGAATCAGGTGCAATTCATAAACCACAACCCAATCTTTTGTGTTTCTCTGTCTCTACAGCCACTGCTGCAGCCTCTCCAGTACCAAGCACTCTTTCCAAGACAGATGAAGTATCACAAACTCCAGGGGCCTTTTCCTTCCTTCTCCCTGACTCATGGATCTTCATGAAGCCCTTTGCAGCTATGACTTAATTGAGAATCACCCACAAGGAGACTACTCAAACCTTTTAGTTACAGAATGCAAAGATGCAAATTAAATATCACTCTAATTTCGTCAGCTCGAACATTGCTGTTCTTCTACCACTTGCCAAAAAATGACAGTTCAGCAGGCCAAGCTTTAAGAAATACCAGAAATTTTGAACTATAAATTGATTCTGCATCCCTTTACTAAGCTCACTTTGCTAAGGACACAGGACACCAGTCAGAACAGAGAACAGGTTAACCAGCAAGCTTTAAGGACCACGTCCTGCTTATAGCTCTATGTGTAACCAAAAATTGCACAACATACATTCCCAAAGAACTCATTTTTACACAATACTCTCCTTCACATTGTTCTATTTGACTACAGTCAGTGCTCTCATCGAGGAAACAATTCCATGCACAGACAGACAGCAGAACATCCAGTGCTATTTGGGAGGCTGCAGATTGCATTTCCCCCCTTTTTGATCCTTTCAGATCAGCAAATGCAAGGACCCAGCTGTTGTACCTGGGATAAGGCACTTGCCCCAGATGAGCAGTACAGCACCAGGCCAGTGTGCCAGACAATCTGCAGGGACCTTTTCTTCACCATTTAGAGCCAAACAAGGAATAGTTCTGGAGCAATTGTGCTCTTTCAGCCTGGAGTGCTCCTCCTGCAACAGCTTGTGCAGCTCTCAGAAGCTGCTTCACATTCTTCCCTAAACCTCCTAGTAATGGCCACAGATTTTGCAAACTTCCAGAGGTTTATTCTATTTCCAAATCAGCTCGAGGTGCACTTCCAAGGGATTAGTCAGAACTTGTGAAACATCACCAGGAAATTACAAAGAGAAAATTTCCACCTGTCCAGCAGCAGCTCTTAACCACCTACACAGCCAAGGTTTGTCAGTCGAGGTCTCAGATGATTTCAATTCCCTGAAAAAACAAAGTTGCCTTATGGCATGCATAGTATAGATATCACTAGTGCTACCTGGAAGAGTTCTAGCTCCAATCCTCCTCCCTCCCAAAGGGGACAAATTCAAACCCACTTATCTGAATAGTTTTAAATTCAATCTTCACTGCATATATTTCAAATAAATCTGTGCTCCAAACCTTGGAATAGCTTAGGAGTAAAAAAACCTGTTAACTTGCCACTAACAGAAGACTAAGAAAGAAGTGAGATCTAGTTTCTATCAAAAACAAAAGCACATCTCACTTCTGGGTTTATTTATTACTTTCTCACAGACATTTTAATATAATTATTCTGATATTCTGGTCTAGATAACAGCCAAAATCTCAGTTTTAAGGAAAAACCCCTCATTTTACACTGATTTGAACTCCCAGTAGCTTTAAGCACCCAAATAATTTTAATTTCTTTTTCTATTGAATGAATGTTCTGCAGTTCTAGAAAGATGAGTTATGCACTTTTGTTCACATACAAAAAGACAGTCTAACAGATGTAAACTATTTATTGAATATTTGCCACCAATATTGTTAAATACATAATCTTGCAGTTTTCCGCTTTCAAGTTAAAATGTCAGAAACAGAACACCAAATATTTACAATTCTTGTAAGGAATGTTACATAATGACACATTAAGGCGTAAATTCTTTTGGCTTATAATTCTGAAAAGAATGATAATAGCAAAAAGTGATGCAAAATCTTTCTTGTGAGATTATGATTAAGCTACAATGTTTTACAAAAATATGGTGTAAGATGGCAATAATCCCATTCAAAATCCTGCATTAGGCCCCTCGAGAGGGGCTGATAATTTATACAGTCAAAACTTTAAAATTTACATATAAAGGTACCCTATCCACCATTGAAAAGTACAACTCTCAACATATACAGTTTTCAGGCCACAGTTTTGAAGGTCTGGAGTATCAAGTTGGTTTGATGAATTAGTCGGTTGGCACTTATGAACACATTTATTGCCCTGTGGAAAGAGAAGAATATTGCTTCAGACACTTCTAGAAACATGGCAGTGGAGAAACCCAGCACTACTGGCATCTAGGCTTGGAGAATTGGAAGCACAGGGATGTTCCACCCTGTGCTGACCTACCTGAAGCTCCCTGCTGGCAGCCAACCAGCCTCATTTGCATAGCTAATCCCAGGAAGGCTGTGTTGATTTGGCAGGAATTTAAAAAGAATTTGGCTCTCAATCATCGCTGACATCTCAATCCTTTCCTTCTGGGATTCAGATAACCAAGGGAAAACCATGGAACAGATGACTGGGGCTTGGAACCAGATGATCTTTAAGGTCACAGCCATTTTCTGACTCTGTGATTGTGAAACACCTTTCCAAAGATGAGCTCTTCACCCCTCAGGAATTCCAGAATTGGCAACCCCTCCCTCTAGGAATACTAAACGTGCCCACATGTGACAGCAACACACTATTTTAGTTACCTTTCTGCACAGAGAGGTGTGGGGTCACAGAATTTTTCAGCTCAGGAATGACATCTGAGCATGGCTTGTGTTTAGTGCTGGGGGAAGCAGGGATCTCACCCAATGTGCAGCTCAGACTGACTGAAATGCCTCCTGACCTCACAAGGATAGGAAATACATCATGGAATTTCTTACACTACTGCAAATAATTAACATACTTTAAGCTTAAGCCCAGAACATAGTCCTTCTATCCAGGAATCAAAGTTACCAAAGCCTAAACTTCTCATTTTGGTATCAAATTTAGCCCCAATTCCAGGAAAATGAGAGAAAAACAAGAATGCTTGATGGGAACAGGACTGTACTCCCAGCTGGGCTCAAGACTTTTCTCTCCTTTATAATGCACCATCTCCTGGGTGCTCTCAGCCTTTGCCAAGCTCAACAAGAGCTGACATCAAAGTTGGTTCCATCTTTAAAACAGAACACTTTGGCACTGTCAGAATCTGAGGGGGATCCACTCATTCTCCAAAAGAATCACTACAGTGAATTATACAGGAATAGTGACTGCAAAACCCAAGGTGAAGACCTGGAAAATGCCTGAGTTTGAAGGCTAAAATTTTCAGCTAGAAAAAGATTCAGCTGAATCATTCCAGATACTGTGAGGGTCTATAAAGAAAGACCAATAAAAATGTAAATCAAAGAGAACCCTGCACAGATGTTTTGCATTTGCATGTGATACTTCAAATAGGTAAATTTTCTCAACAAAAAAATCCAGAATTTCTTTGTCCTTGTATATGCACTGAGAAAACACACACAGGGCCAGGAAATTTAACTTCTCATTCAAATTCAAAACTAACACCACACATGGGTGTTACATGGTGGTGAATTTAACAATTCTCCCTTTCCTCAAAGGTGAAGAAACAGCATTTTAAAGCAGCCATGGTAATGAGAGGACAAAGGTAAGGAAATAATTAGGCAACTCCTAAAAAAGGCAGCTTACACCCCAAAGCCTGTCCTATTTTCCTGTTAATCATTATGTAAATTGTTAAAACAACAGTACAAAACCAACAGGACAAAAGCATACTTACTTTCCATCTTTAAAATAGGTTTTCAAAGTATCACTGAAACTTTTGGAGTATTTTACAAACTCTTTCTTTTGGTGCTCAAGTGCCTACAAAAACAAAAACACCAGGAGCAGAGTCTTAGTTCACGTATTTCTGGGTACAGTGAGAACCTTGAGGTTAAACTGATCAGAAAATTAATTAATGTTACATCGGGAATAAAAATTTTGGGTTTTTTTTTCTTTAGAATTCCTGAGACTTATCATACAACCATTCTGTTGTTAAAGCATGGTTTCATTGACCAGCTAAGCTCTGCTGTTCATCCTTGGATGCAAAGGATGCCTCTTGTGCTGCTATTAGAAATACTGGATGAAGAGCTGGTGCACATACCCGCCGGTTCTGGTACTGGTATTTCTTGAAGACATTATTTACTGTGTCAAGGAGCTCCTTTATTGCACTTGCAATGTCCCTGTTGGGCAAGAAAAAGAGAATGTCAATATCCTCAGGAGATCCCATGAAATGCTGGAATTGAATCCCTTCCTAGCAGTCAAGTATTCCTCAGGGCAGTCTCTACAGAGGAAGTGTCAGGCATGATGGAGGAGACCAAATGCAGAGAGCCACAGCAGTGTCCTGGGAATTCAGACTTGGAACCAGCAAGTTTGGTCAAGTAACAGCCTCATCATTTCTGACTGGGATCAGGCTCTCTGGCAACGGGAACAATGCTGCTACATCTACAGAATTTCAGCATTCAGACCTAAATACAAGAAGTTTGACCTCTGCATCTGCAGCAAAATCCATCATATTATACTTACTTGATTGTCTGAAGAAACCTCACTCTGTCATTGATCTCATCTGGAATCTTACTAAGAATCTGTTTAAGTGCTCGTGCCTTTTCATTAAGATCTTGGAATTCAGGTTCAGGTCTTTCAATCATATATTCTGGCAAAAAGAACATATTCAAAACCACCATTAGTTTGTCCTCAAGTCTGTAGTGACAGCTAAAAACATGACACAAAAAGCAGTAGGATTGCCACGGTGAATTTGAAGGTGAACAGCACAGAAACAGCCACGAGCAGAGAACTGCAGTGAATAACCCCTGTGTGAATCAGGACAGTGCAACAATCACCTTCATTACTGCATGGTGGAAAAAGAGCCCATCTTACTTTATTTGAGACATTAAAGTCATCAAATTCAGTATTAAAATAACTTAAAGCCTGCAGTATATTCTCCTTCTGTGACAGTGTAACTGCTGCTTTTAATTTGAAGTAGGGAAAAAAAAAAAAAAGGATGTTATACTCCATATTTGCCATTTCCTGGTTGTTAGCATTGCAAAAGGTGAACTATGCACCCATAAAAACATAGTTCTAAACATTCATTTTCTTTCTTTCCTTGTCTTATTAGTCAAGTGTGGTGTTCAGGGAGATTTAATTTCTCCAATAGCAGTATTCAAAAATACAAATTTTCTTCTACCACGCTGAGAAAATTCTACTGAGAAACAAATAATCTCTTCTGAAAAAAAAAGAAATACAGAATTGCATGTTACCAGAGCAATTAAAAATACAGTTATCCAACACAGGCTTTATTACCTTCTACATCATCAGCTGCCATACGCAGAAGAGACTCTGTGAAATTCACATCCACACTTTTCTTCTCCAGAATTTTCATGATGATGTCCTGTGTAAGACCTGGATTTTCTTTTTCAGCCTATAGAGCAGAAACATTTTATATTCTTAAATATGCAAGACCTGGACACTGCAAGCACAAAGATTTTCATGCAAATTGCTTCAGATACTGCAGGAGTTTGCTAGGAACTTTGAGTGCCTAATGGCTTTAGACCAGTAGATTACATTAGAAACATTTTTCCACTACAAAATTCATTTTTCTTGGATTACATCACTGATTGTGTATAAGCAACTTTCCAATAAGCCCTTGCACTCATTTTAATTTGAGTAAGAAATGTTTTAATAAATGTCTCTAACCTGTTATATTTTCATAAACACCAAGCTTTGAGACAAAGATATTATATCCCCTGGAATTTAATTCACTCCAACACAGGTGCTACTCCCCCACCTTCCCCATGACATTTAAAAATGTGCCTCTCATGAATCACATCATATGCTCAGACATCATCTGGGAATTGCTCTTTCAGAAAAAACCCGGTTTTGATTGATGACATATCTAAGTACAGAGCTGGATTAACACTGGAGCTGTTCACATCACCTGTGCTGCTACTAAAAAACTGCTCTGTGTGGAAGAAAAATGAGCCTCTGTGGGTTTTTTAGCTGGCACTACCATTTTTACCAGCATCTCAGTTTAACATTATTTGCATCCAGCTTAGCTCCTTCCCAGAATTGTGAAAACACACAAAACCAACCCACACTTGTAGGAGCTCAATTTGAGACTTCAGCCCATCAAGGTACATTTAGATTTAAGTGCAGGAACAGGGAAGTATCCCAGAGTTGCACAGCTATGTCATGCCTGCCGTTATTTTGTTTCAATATTTGAAAAGATCACCACTTCAATAAAGCAATGTAAAGGAATATCTGTATTTTCACTCCTTAGGAATACAATGGAAAAGCCAGAAGAATCTTTTTTTTCCATTTACTGCTGGATTTCTACACAAACACTGAACTTCATCCACAAAAAAATCCCATTACCGCTCACTTTGTAAACCAATTTCAAAGTCTGCTACGTGTCTATTACTCATGAGAGCCTATTCTACAAATCTTGTGGGTTTTAGACTACATTTATTATTTATTCACTGACTGCTGCCTCATTTAAGCTTTTGTTCTATATGGACAAGAGAAGAGTCTGTTTAAAATTGCTCATTCAGATTTCTACTCATGACATCTGCAGACATCTCAAACTTCCAGTTCATGCAATTGTCCACTTTATTTTTAGACTACTGGATCAAGGATGAAATCTCAGATAAAAAGACAAGGAAACAAGAGAGCTGACCTTTTAGCTTCATCATACACAGCTTACTTTTGAAACAACATTTTTCAATGCAAGTTACTTCTCACCTTAATAAAAGCTGCTCTCAGCGTCTGAGCTGCAGATAGATTTACTCTTTCTAGCTGCAATAAAAGTTTAGAATTAATTATTAGCATTCTGTTGTTATCAGAACAAAACAAGTCAAGTAATCACACCTTGCCCCATAAAGCAGAGTGGAGAGGAGGATTGACAGAAGCTTTCAAATTGCTGGTCTCAATTCAGAGATACTGTAAAGTTAATCCCAAAGGAAAGAGTTCCCCCCACAAATGAAAACAAAAATCACTGGATGTATTTTGCAGCAAAAGTCCGACAGAAGATTGTGAGAACATCCTGACAATCTCTGATATTCAGAGGAAAACAAATACTAAATTATGACCATTAGCAGTAAAATTAAAATGCATCAAGCTGTTCACAGGTTTGACTGTGTGTATTTCCTGCCAGAGAATACCAGAGCTGGCATTTTTGTCAAAATCCTGTGTTAAAGGTAAGAGAAAAGCTCAGGACCAAGATAATCAGCAAGCTTTGATGAGCACGAAACTATTCATGGCAAGAAGGGTGAAACAAAGCAGAGAGAGAAGATGTGTTAGACAAAGCTTTCCCAAGATGAACAGCATGTTACTGTGGCCTCATTTCCCAAAATAAAGGGGATTACTGCATTCCAAGGTAAACTGGAGCTCACCTCATTAAAGACAGGGTACATAACAGCATAGAGAGGCATGGAAACCATAGAAGTGGTCTCTGCTTCATTCTTCATCTCTTCCATTGTCATCCTCATTCAAAGAGCCACTTCTCAAGGAAAACACTATAGAAGCAAAAAACTCCTCATTCACTGAAATGTCTCTTCTTTTTCCTCGTTGTGCAAGAATACTTGAAGAACTTGGGAAATCTATTGTCCTTAGGGTGTGTAAGAAAAGAGAAAACAAACACACAGTTACAAATGCTTGAGAGGGACAGGTTCTGAAAATGACAAGGCACAGATCAATGTCAGTTCTATTGTGTAGAAACCAGGGATTTCTTACTACTTGAGTCCAGCAAACATGGAATGACCACTTGGTGTAACTTCAAAACCCTAACTGAAATCTATTAAGTGAATATTTTAAAGGAAAGGTGCTACCCCAAGTGTTTTTCCCTTCAAGTTCTTATGGAATCAATTCTCCTGAAAGCAGGGATTTTATGTGCTATTTACAAAAATCTTGCCACCACTCATAGGCAGCAGCATAAGGTTCCTGACAACTCCCATGCAGGAAAAACTTGGAAAGCACTACATACTGCAGCCCAAACCTCATCCAGATGCATTGTGACTATTAAAACTACCTATAAATACTCCATATTTTTGCACATGCACCAAGCTGTGATTCTGCTGGAGATCAGTGCCTACTTTCCACCCATCTGAACGTGAACACTACATCTTTAGTTTTATATAAGCTGAAGTCATGTTTCCACTCAGGGTGTGCCACCAGCTATGTTAACTCAATGGAAAATTATTGTTCCAGTAACTGAACCTCTGTTTTGGAAGTTCTCCACCCAGCCCAGCTCATCATATCCAACATGGAAGGAACGCTGCTCAGACCCAGAAATTATGTGGAAAATAAAAAAGGTCACCTTACAGTTGATAAAAACCCCTTGTTCCAGCCTGCTGTATCTTCCATTAATCAGATTCTTTAAAAAATATTTTATATTACATAATTGAGTTTAAAGACCTGAAGTCCAAGTCAGAAATAAAAAGAAACATATTAAGGGTTTTAATTTTTAGATTTGTTTGGAGGATTTAATGCACTAGAGGAAGGATTTTTTTCTCCAAGCAAGCTCCAGACACCTGGCATTTGCATGTCTGTGTAATTTACTGACATTTTAGTAAGTGAAAAGAGTGAAATGATAAGAAACAGCAGAAACTACTCCAGCAATCAATATCACTTCCTGAGAGTATGAACAGGTTAAGAACATGCCAAGACATTTCTTCAAGCCATATTCCTCATTACACTCTGCACTGGCTACAGATCTTCAGGCTGTTTAAACAGAAGAACAGGTATTTTTTGTCCAGAGCAGATCTGTAATTGTTGAGCCATAATTATACAAGTGAAATTTGTTACTGATTAAAGTCAGCACAGAGAAGAAACTGAATGACTACAGATCTTGTGCACAGCTCTTCTGAGCTTGTGAACAGTAAAAGCTGAAGAAAAATTCAACATGACTACAGCAAAAACTTTCTACAGATCTTTTAACATGGACTGCTTACTGCAAAACCTCACTTTGTTTCTCTTGCTGTTCCAGCCTCAAAGTGCCTCAGAGGAGCTGATTCCCCCAGCCCCAGAAAAGGATTCCTGAGACTTTAGAAAGGGGCTTGGATGGATAAAATGTATCCACAGGGATGGAACTGCAATAGTCAGGGGTCTCACAACTTTATCACCCACCCCTGGTATTTTACAGCTGTCAAGAACACGGAGGAATACAAGTGAATATTCATCATTCCTCAAAAAGTTGAGTGTTTTCCCAAGAACTTGTTTCAGTTACATAAATTCATGCAAGGTCTGCTCACATGGGGGGAGGGAACTTGTCTGAACAAGTTTTCACTCCCTACTGCAGGTACAAGCTGTCCCATTTATTATCCATGTGTATTCCCTGCTGGATGGAGATCTGCTTGTTTTGCTGTTGAATTCCTCCTCTCTGGAAGTTCAGTGAATGTCCACTCACACATCTGACAAGCACCACCTGCATTCACAGATGAATTTATAGCACGTTTTTATCTGTAGTCTCAGAGTAAGTTTTTAAAATAGTTAATTCAGGTCACTGAACATTGTTCTACCCAAAAGATTTTTATCACAGGAAGAAGGGCAAAAAAGGACAAAATTGCCATTAGATATAATTACTTTGTTTTTATGGGTTAGCAGTATCCACACACACACAAAAGGAAATCCTAAGTGAAATGATGGATTTTTATGATGATGAAAACCTATTACACCGTGAGCTACCATGAAGAACTCATTTTCTCCTGAAGAACCATAAGCTATTGTTACTAATCCATGGTACAGTTAAAACCCTCACATAAAAACAATTATACATTATCTATCACCCCTTTTCCAGACACTGACACTCCTAAAAAAAAAATACAACACTTGGATTTATATTAACACAAAGGATACCAATTTTGCAACTGAAGAGGTGGGTTTATATATACGTGCACACAAGAAATATTTAAGAACACCAAATGCTTTTGTTGCCAAGGTATGAAAAGAAATATATTCTATTTATCACACTGTTTGTTCATTATTTCAAAAATCTTCCTGTTTTCCAGAAGATACACTAGGAAGTATCACAGTGTCATGAAGGACCTGACTGCTAAAATTCTCAAACTGTTTATCTTTACAGTTAGGAATCAACTTTGCATCTTTTGGATTCAACTTATTCACTTCAGTCTTTGTTAGTGTTAAATAGAAATAATAATTATCTTCACAAAAGCTCTGTGTTCATTGTGTTACTGAAAGTCAGTTTGTCATAGCTGCACTAAACCAAATACTCTTCAAGAAGATTCAACCCTGATTAGGGACTAAATCCTCATGAAAACTGAAGTTTCTGTTCTATTTAGATAAATTATCAGCAAGTCCACTAACCTTCAAAATGGCCTGACTCAAGCCAAAGTTTAATGCACATTATCAGCAGCAAGGAGGAGCTTTCAGCATTTCTTTTAGGATGTGATCAAAAGCAGCTCTGCACAGCTGCCAGACTTCCTGACAGTGTCTTGTAACAGCTTAACTTCAGTTCCTCCAATCTCAAAAGAGCCTTTTCTTTGAGAGGAGTTTACCCTAGTTTCATCTGTCATCTGGTTTATTTTACATTCTCAAAAAAGGTGGAATAAGATTCCATGAGAAGGTGATTTATTAGGACAGCACAGTGGAGTGGCAGAGTTGTGAAAATCCTGGAAAACTGTAGAAAAGGTGTTACTCTGCTGGCAAACTTGTTAATTGGTCTGAGGGGGCAGATGAGAGAAGGCAGCAGGACACTGCCAGATACCGAACTGAGTGTCAGCCTGATCCTCCTTTGTGTTACAGGGACCCCACAGACCCAAATCTCTGGCTGTGCAGTCAGAGTCCTGGGAGAGAACCTACAGGATGATACAGGGAATTGAAACAGAATCTGGATTTGTCAACTATGCTAAAATACCAGTTAATACAACCCTGACTGCTCAGTCCTGACCCATCAAACACACTAGGCTGGATTCCAAGAGATGCACTAACATGGAATACATGCTTGCACTGTCAGGATAAATCTTACATTCTAACCTTTAAGTCTCAGCACTAAAATATGATCCCAGCCAGTCAGCAAACATGGAGAGAGCTGGTATATTTTAGATGAGGAATAGATTTGGAAAGGTTCTTTGACAGACCTATTCCCCCACAGCTACCCAATGACATTTTAAATCATTCAACTGAACTTTAGCAGAAAAAAACCCCAAAAACCCAACTCCTGCCAAGAAGGGTGAAGAGCACAAACCACCACACTTCCCACATGTACAACCACCATTGTCAGTGTCTAAGGTGACAATTTGCTTTCTCTAATGTGTGTCATTTACTGACAGACTTTTGGTCATGCACTTAAATCAAGCAGAGCTGCTTAATACAAACGGAACCATCCCCACGTAACTGCAGCAGGCAGGATCCTCCCCAAATCCACAGCTGCTCCTAGGCCAGGCTGAACAGGAGTGAGGTTTCCATCAAAGGAAGGTGTTTGTGTAACACAATCTTCTGAATTAGTGCTTAAAGCAAAGACAGCAGACTCTCATGATTTCAACTTTTCAAGTTTTAAACCAACAGAAATATTTGGTATCAATTGGCAGGGTTTCAGCTCTGTCATCAGCAGATCTACCTCTGCACTGATGTTGTCTCTCTTCCCTTCTCCAGGCTCCATCTACCCTAGATCTGGTAAGTGCTTAGACATTAATATTCTTTTTTAGAAAAGTACTACAGAGGAACAAGGCCCAAGGCAGTGATTACAAATATTATTATTTCAGTGGTTGGCTTCTAGCAAAAATCACAGTTCCATTCCTGCTAGAAAAGACTACCTCACTGCCAAGAGGTTCTGCTCCACTTTTTGCAGGGAGGATTCAAGAAGAGGTTTCACCTTTAAGCTGATCTGAGATCCCTGAGTTACCAGAAAGATTCATTCAAGTCCAGGAAGAAAGAGTGGGGGAAGGGAAATAACAGCACAAATTCCATCTGAATTCAGAGTCAGAGCTTGAATCAAAATATAAGACCAATGTGCATGGGAGGAGGGAGTGCAGGCAATTGACTATTGCTGTTGTAAAGTTTATGGAAGTAAAAAAAAAAAAATTGCTTGCAGAATTCGCTCTTTTAACTATATACACACCCCACACCTGTCTTGGTAACTCTGTTTCTGTCATTAATGGTCACTTGAATTTAAAAAAACCCTAACCCACACATCTTTTTTTTTTTTTGGTCAGATGTTACCTTACCTGCCACTGTATTTTCATTATCAATTGCAATTATTTCCCATTGTATAACTTAGATTATTTGATAAAAAGCTTCAAAGCTTTGTGTTTCAGATACAGAATTACTTTCCTTTTTTTTAATACTGAGTATGGGTGGATTCACTGGGATTAGCATACAGATCAAGTATTAGGATAACAATCTGTATTTTAAAATCAGCAACGATAACAAGAGACTTAAAAGGCTTCCTACGGAACTGATTCCACATCCTACTGATTCTTACACCAAACAGTTTCACTGCAGAGCCAATAAAAGGAATGTCACTAGCAAATAGTATTGAAGTTTGAGCGTGTCTTCAAATGCCTCTCACTAGAACAGAAATGCAGTTTTCAAACATCTCCACACACATGTAACAATCACCTGCAGTGAAATTCACTCTGGCAAAGCAGAACTGCTTATGCATTTGATTACTGTAAGAGCAGTTCTATGACTAATTCAGAAATGACACAGACCTGTGATAAATCCAAGATGTCTATTTTTAGAACCGTATCAACTTAAAAAACAAAAACCAAGCCTAAAATGAAGTCAGGCTTATAATTAGTCCATGTTCTTTTGCTGGACTTCAAAATGGAAGTGATTTAATCTGTCCTAATACACCCAGTGTGTGTCTCACACGAGACCCTACAGCCTGTGCTCCAGTTCCAGCAACACCAGAACTGTTATACAGCATAACTGGAACAGGTCATGAATGTTGGAATATATAACCACAACTACATATCTCCGTTTCTCTTTCTTTTTCACCTCTTTGGGAATGTGAAAGTGAAGCCATTACTTTACCAAACACAAATAGGTATGACACAGCTCCAAAGGGACAAAAATACATTCCAACGTGTGAACAAATACCAGAGGAGAATTAGTTCCTCTGATAACAGGAACAGCAGAATGTTTCAGCCACCCAGTATGTGCGAGCTACTGGAAAAACACCAACCCAACGCACCAGTTCAGTGAGCAACTTAATGGGACACCCCAGCCCTGAACACCTGCCCTGACTGCTCAGTCCCCAAGGGGGGCACAGCCGGGGGAGCCTGCGGAGAAGAAATCACAGAATCAATCAGGCTGCAAAAGACATCCAAGATCATCGAGTCCGACCTCTGAACAAACACCACCTTGCCAAACACACCGTGGCACCGAATGCCACGTCCAGCCTCTCCTCAAACACCGCCAGGAACGGTGACTCCACCACCTCCCAGGGCAGCCCATTCCGATGTCTAATCACCCCTCATGCGAATAATTTCTCCCTAATGTTCAACCTACACCTCCCCTGGCGCAGGAAGGGGGAAGGAGCCGAGGCGCCCTTTCTCCCTGCCCGCCGCAGCCACCTGACAGCGCTCCGCTCCGAGAGGACGAGCTAAAAATAATACACACAAAAATAAAACACATCCGGGCCTGCGCCTGCGGGGCCCGGGCCGAGCGAACCAGCACCAGGCCGGGAACCCCGGAGCGGGGCCAGGCCCCAACCCCGCGGCCGCGGGAAGGGCGGGGAGAAGGACAAGCCCTCGGCGCTGCCTCAGGGCCGGAGGAAGGAGGTCACCGCCCGGCCGGGAGGGGAAGGGACACCCCGCGCACCTTCCCCGCACGGCGAGGCCGCCCTCAGCCGCTTCCTCAGCCCGGCCGCCCCTCTCGCAACCCCGGAGGGCGCGGCGGGCCCCGCGTCCAGCCCGCGAGAGCCGGGCAGGGCAGGGCTCGGCACCTCACCTGCCCCGGCCCGCCGAGCCCCCGCTGCTCCCGAGGGGCTTCGCCGCCGCCGCCGCGCCGGAAGCGCCCGCGAGGAGCAGGAGGAGGAGGAGGAGGAGGAGGAAGATCCGCGGTGTTACCACACACCAGGCGTTGTCCGGAACCGCGCGCGGGGCCCTGGGGCTCGTAGTCCGCGCTCCGCGACCACAAGCCCCACAATGCCGAGCGGAGCGAGGGCGGGAGCGCTCGGCGGGGCGGGCCGGGGCGGGGACAGTGACCGGGAGGAGCGGGGCTCAGAAGAGCCGAGCACAGCCCTGCACGGCAGAGCCGCGGCGGAGCGCGGAGTGGCGGCAGCAGCACCGCCGGGCAGCAGGCGGGGCGGCGGCAGTGCCGGTGAGTGCGCCCGTCGCTTCGCGGGGCTGCGTGGCCGAACAAACCGGGCGGCTCCGGCTTATTTCTTACACCGAGCCGAGCTCCGTGCCGGAGTAGCGGCGGTGCGGAGGAGCCGCTGCCCGTGCGGGGTTCGCCGGCGTTCCTTCAGCGCCGGAGGGAGGGAGGGACGGGCTGCGCCCGCTGCTGCGGGAGAGGAGGCGTTCGGGATCAGAGCTGCTCCTCCGGCGTGGGATAACCGGCGGGGAGCGGCAGGCAAGCCCAGGAGCCCCTCCGGTGCTCGCTCGGCTGCTGCGGGCGGGCGGCCGGGGAGGGACGCGCTCTCTCGCCGGCCCCGCGGAGCTCAGCCCGCGCCCCGGCCGGAGCGCTCCGGCGGAGTTGCGCTCGGGCGAAGGAAGTGTGGCGGTGCCGTGCCCCAGAACCCGCCCGCGGTGTCCCGCGGGTCCCTGCGGCCGTCCAGACCCTTCCCAGCCCGCAGCTGGGCTTCCAGAGCCCGCCTGTGAGCGGCTTCTCCCGCCTGTGGCAGCCCCGTCCTGGCGGCTCGCTCGGCGCGCCGCAGACCGTCTGTGCGCCCCGAGGGTTGGCCACTAAAAGAACTAAAAACTTGGGCATTATTTGTGGGGGTGACTCTGCTGCTAGTAAGCTTTGCGGTTTGAAGATTCGAATTACGTTGTAGGAAGAGCTCAGCGATTAAAATGTAATATTAATATTAAAGCATCAGCTCACTTCTAGGTCCGAATTTGCATTTCTGATGTGTCGCTGTTAACGCTCGCTTTTTAAAAATGCTGATCTCTTCTAATGTTAAGGCACACGAATTCCCCAATGCGAACAGGGGAACGAACAGCTGAAGCATTGAACTTGTCAGGCGTTGGCTGTAACTTCTTGCGGTGCTGCTGGCAGGGTGGGAAGAGTTGGGTGCCTTTGGGAACAGAGGGACGATGTGCAGGCGTCCGTGTGTGTTACCCATCCACATCTCCTCCTTCGGGATGAGCAAAGGCACTGGGTGGGGGGAAAACTAGGAAACAAGGTATCTGGATTGTTACAGGTGTGAATTTTCTCCTTCCCACACCACCTTTGTTTTAATCTCTCACATGTCAAATACTCTGCGCATCCTAGTATTAAAGGGCTGCTTAAAACCTGCATCGTGTGTATGAGTTTTGTGCTGTTAATCAGCTTTGAGCTCAGATATTCTTCAGTTTTCCCCTCATTTTTGATGTGATTTGGTGATTTAGTCTAATGGAAAATTACGCCCTTCTGTGTAGAGGAGAGGTGTTTAGTAAAATGTTGTAGCATAGATTGAGCCAAATGTCTGTTTAATGGTATTTTATCCTTTCAGTGAAATTAGTGTGTTTTAAATAAAGCTACAAAGCTGTAGTCATAGAGCTGCTAAAGCTTAAGATAGTTACCTCTTCCATCAATTTTGTGGTACTTTTCCAGATTCTGTCAGGTCTTGGTTGGACTTCTTGGGGTTGGACCATGAGGCTTGGACTAGATTCACACTTTGTTATTTTACATCCATTGTATTTTTTTAGAATCACTCTGCCTTGGTTGAGTGTGATGAGGAATAATTGCCAACGGAAGGGAGGAAGCAGGAATGGTTGAGGGTTATTTTTCTAAGGTGTGGGTTGTCTACAGAATTGCATAGGACAGCCTAAGATGTAATGCAATGTGAAGGCTTGTGGCAGTGTAAAGTTTCCTGTTAAAGGCAGTCATGAGTTCCAAAATTTGACCTCATGAGACTGTCTGTCCTGTATTTTCACATCCTCTAGTCCAATTTGAGTTGGGATTTTTAAATTTGCTTTGAGTTTGTCTCTTCATCCACCGTTGTCAGGGATTTGCTCACGTGTAGATGAAAGTTATTCATGAACGTGTCAGTCATCTCCTTTCGTATTCGGGGTGAACAGTTCTAGGAGCACTGTTGTAATGACTCTCTTGAAATTTATTCTGTGGATGTAAATGTTGTATTTATGTGTAGCTTAGTTCAGTTTATAACCTTGTGTATCACAGCATGTAGCGATGAAAATGGGTTAGTGCTGGTAGAATTCTTCACAGCAAGATCTGACTGCTCCCTGTTCTTTAAAGGCTTCTGCGACTAATGTTTTACTTCTCAAAATTTCAAATTTGTTTTTTGGGCTGCTCATCATCAGTGAAGACACATTGTTGGCATGCCTGAATACCTTTTAAAATAATTTCTAGCAATTTGTGTTCTGTGTGGGCAATACATTATTCTGTCTGTGTAAAGCACAGGCTGAATTAATATAGGGTACATCTGTCCTATACTGAGTCTTCAGGCTGTCCTTATCTGAATTAAGCTGTGTGTTCAAAATAACGTTAAAAATTGGTGTGTAAGCATGGTTTTCAAAGTTAATATTTGGTTTTCTCTATATGGTTTGCATGTCTCTGATACAATATAATGGGCAGATGGTAGGGAAAGATGTCTGTATAGTCAGCTGTAATTAGTGATAAATGTGTCTTTATGAATATATACATACTTTGTATGTATGAAAAAACAGTAGTTTAATTTAGGAATCCCTTAAAAAATTTTTGGGTTTAATTTGTGTCTTCCCAGCATGGTCTTGTGAACTGGATGACTAAACATTAGCAGAACGTGGAGGTGGGGGAAATAACATACCATGTATCCCTGCAGGAGGGAGGGAAATACTTTCTGAGTCTTGAATTATGAAATTGACAGGAGAACACATTTTCTGTCAATGTCTTTGTGAAATAGTCCAGGACATAAAGCTGTAGCCGCTTCAAGACAAAAAAAAAAAAATCCCATAGTTCAGTAATAACAGGGAAGTTTTTGCTGCTTATTTTCCCTGTGTACTTGGCATTGAAGCAGTACAAAATGACAGGGATGTACAGATGTATTGATCCCATTAAGAATGTGTTTATTTCAGGTGTAAATACCTCAGTGCAGTCACTAGGAACGTTGTGTTGGAGAAGGTCTGTAGCTATAAAGTAATGTGAGAATATTTCCTTGCCTGCTTGTGGCTTGGGTAGTTCTCAATAGCATCTCGTTTGGTGGCCTTAATGAAGTATCTGTGATAAAGAATTGTTCTTATGTGGTGTGATTAAAATATCAGCTCTAAGGTCATGTTCTGGTTTGTTTAATGCACTTCAAAGCTAATGATTATGAGAACTGCAGACCGTGGCTAATGGGATAAAAGCTGTGTGAGTTATCCATGTCCTTTTTGGGCTTTTGGAGTCATTGCAGAGCAGCTGTAGCTGTGAGATGGGAAAAGAGGAAATTTCTTATTCATACAAGCTAATGAGTTAAATGTGTGTATGGCTTTGGGGTTAATGAGATTTGACCTCCTGTGTTGTAAAGGATTTTGGGTTTAGTTCAGTGTTTAAATATTATGATAATTCTTGAGAAATATTTTTGCAGACCTTGAGACTCTTCTTTCAGGAAGAATCAATAATGACAAGTAATTTACTGTCTAGAAGAAGAAAGTTAAAACAATGTGATTGTATTTCGTTTTAACCAACTAGCTTCCAATTTATAGGCTGTCTTTGCACTAATTTGTGAACTTTGTGTACTTCAGCCCTGAAGTCGTTCATCATTACAAATAAAGAAATAATTGCTTAATAATGCTCTCTGTTCCTGCTCTGCCGTGTGAGTCTGACAGTTCCAACCCCGTGATGGCTTGATGGGCCAAATGGACAATCTGCCGCTTCTGGAAAGATCTATTCTGTCCCAATCAAAACTGAAGCTGTGCCATATGTGCAGGGGGGTGTCAGATGTACAAACCAAGCGCTTGTTAGCCAGCAGTGATCTCCCCAGACTCTGGAAGAGCTGCAGTTCCCGTGCTTTTCCTTTCCTCTAATTTTGTCGTGCATGTTTCTGTGTGCGGAGTAGGTTTTGGGGGGAAATCCTAATCTCAGAAAAGAGAACTCTCATTTCCTTTTTAACCTTTCTGCACAACACACTAAAGGCTTTGTTTTGCCTTTGCAAAAGTTCTGAGAGTTCTGCTCAGATACCACAGAAAGCAAATTTAATTCCCTTTGCAGTAAGACAAAATGCCCAAACTCTGCTCACCAGTTGCGTTTTGCATCCAGTACTGTTTGAGCAGCAATTCCATTCCAGCCTTGATTCTCCTGTGGAGGTTTGGAGTGAGCTGGAGGGCTTGGACATCTACTTTTCACTGTGATTTTTTTAAGTGCCCTTGGCATGTCAAGGTAGTGTTAAGAGCGTGGGTACTTTGCCAAAGACAGCCTGTCGGAACTCCTCAGCATCACTCAGCCACGGGAGATTGCCTCCTTCCCTGGCACAGCAGCCAAGTGCCCGGGTTTGGGGACTGTCTCCATGTCTGAGGTGATGTTTGCTGCCCTAGTTTTCCCCATACATCTCAGTTATGTAAGTTGGAAAGAAAGGTCTAAAGTTTTAAGGCATAATTTTTTAATTGGTACACCAAAACTGCCCTTTTCCAATGCTTTTCTTTCCCACGTTTAAATTAAAGCAGCTCCTGGAGCATTTAATGACTGTGTACTTCACACAGCAATTGGAGTTCACTGAAGCAACTCATGTTTTCTCTCTCAGATATCTTTTTCTCAAAAGAAGCATTGCTCCAGTTTCTAAACTATTTAAAGTAATTAATCAAAACCTAAGACGACAGGAACAGCTTCTGTAACATCAGGTCCTCAACTTGAGATGAGGTTGATGCAAAGGGAAAGTGCCCAAGTCCCCACCAGTGTGTGTAAAGCCTGTAGGTGAATGATGACCTTTTCATCTGCTAAGAGAGATGAGAAGTGGGAGGAAGAAGACAGGGGAACCGAGTTATTTTTACTGTAAATATGTCAGTTTATTGACTTGTTAATTTCAGATTTATTCAAAAAAGCAGGAGGAGGAAACACTAATGTCTGCCAAAAACAAAGTAATTAGTGGGAGTTGAAAGATGTCTAATGACTCTTACAAGTACTAAAGAGGAATAAACTAGTCTCTTATTAAACTGGATATGGACTTTTAAAACACTGTAGTAATTCTATTTTATTTTTAAAAC